TAATACATATTAAGTGCATGTCAATAAATTTCAATTTTAAGTGATATGAAAAATATTTTCTGTTGTGCTGTCATTGTAAATCCAATAACTTAACATCACAACCAGTTTCCTTATTTTCCTCATTTTTTCCTCTCGATTACAGTTTCAGACCTAAAATAAAATTGCGTTCTAAATATTTATATATACTCATATATTGTAATGCCCTAGAAATTTTACCTCTTTTAGTGATTTCACTGGATTTTAGTATTGTTTATTTCTACTTTCACTTTCGTTTTGAGAAGCTTTTACTGGCAACAATATAGTAAATTATGCGGTGTCCCAATAAAACATACAGGACATCAACTTAAATCTACGTATTGTGCCAGCAATTTAATCATTCTTGATTCTGGAAGCTTTTCCTTTAATGTTATCCATGTCCCTTAATGTTATCCGTGGAATCCTGTGTATTTGTGTCGCCTTGAAAAGGTGACATATAGGGGTTACTTTTGTCGGCTGTGTCGGCGGCGTCGTTGTCGGCGTCCCCTAAAGCTTGTCCGGAGCATAACTCAGTCACTATAAGTCTGATTGACTTCAAACTTGGTATGCATGCTTCTTTCAATAACCCGAAGTGCAGTGCACAAGGACCGGTACTCTGCAGTTCTTTTTTTTGAGTTAATGCCCTTTGTTAATTTTTATACTTTAATTTTGTCCGGGCAATTTCTCTTCAACTAAAAAAGCTATGGATTTGAAACTTCATAGGATAATAGATCTCATTAAGAAGAAGTTTAGTGCATAAGAACCGGTACTCTGCACTTCCTAATTTTTGAGTTATTGCCCTTTGTTAATTTTCATACTTTATATTTGTCCGGGCCATTTCTCCTAATGTATAAAAGCCATGGACTTGAAACTTCATAGGATGATAGGTCTCATTAAGAAGAAGTGCAGTACACAAGAGCAGGTACTCTGCATTCTTATTTTTTGAGTTATTGCCCTTTGTTTATTTTCATACTTTAATTTTGTCCGGGCCATTTCTCCTTAAGTATAAAAGCTATGGACTTGAAACTTCAAAGGATGATAGATCTTATTAAGAAGAAGTGCAGTGCACAAGAATCGGTACTCTGCATTTCTTATTTTTTTAGTTATGGCCCTTTGTTAATTTTCATACTTAATTTTTGTCCAGGCCATTTCTCCAAAAGTATAAAAGTTATGGACTTGAAACTTCATAGGATGATAGATCTCATTAAGAAAAAGTGCAGTGCGTAAGAACTGATACTCTGCATTTCTTATTTTTTGAGTTATTGCCCTTTGTTGATTTTCTTTCTTTATTTTTATCCTGGTCATTTCTCCTCAAGTATGAAAGCTATGGACTTGAAACATCATAGAATGATAGATCTTATTGATAAGAAGTGCAGTGCGCAGAAACTGCTGCTCTGCACTTACTACTTTTTTAGTTATTGCCCTTTGTTATTTTTCATAATTCATTTTAATCCTGGCCATTTCTCCTAAACTACATTGTTCACAAGGCGACACATCCGACTCGCGGAGTTCTAGTTAATCTGTTTTCGTGACTTCTGTCAAAATAGTTAATTCCTTTATTTTACACTCAAGATTATATAGCTCGATCGTTTATGATGCAGCCTCACTTAATATATAGATTTGCCTCATAAATCCATCTGAATTTAATTGTTAACACTGTATATTTATGAAACATTGCAATGCATTTTCAATTTCGGCCATGTTGGACTATTACGTAGAGATTACGTAGTGAATGCAAGGGATAGTTCTTTATCCGATTGCGCATAAGGAACACGTTACCCTAACTATTTTACTTTCGATATTAGCGCATGATACTGTAGCTTATAAATATTTCTAAAAATCATTTGTTGAGGCTGTGACAAAAATTAATTTTGGTGCTAGGTTGAGTGCATTTCAGTTCTTACATAAACTCGTTTAAAATACATTTCTAGCTACCATATATATGATAATCAAAATTTATCGCTATAAAACGATCTACATGTAGCTTAAAAACTTAAAATGATTGCGATATTTTAATAAAGGTTTAGAAACGTTTTCATTTTGCGTGCGTTTTAGCGTGCGTATATCGTTTAGCGTATTTCGTTGAGCGTATATCGTTTTTCGTGCGTCTGCGTATTTCGTTTCGTTTTGCGTGCGTATAACGTGCGTTCGTATAGCGTGTATCGTGCGTTGGTATAGCGTGTAACGTGCGTTTTGCGTGTAAACTGACACGTTCACCCTACTGTACATGATTTTCAATTTTGACAACAGTTTGGAGGTAATACTTTTATATTGTATACAAAATGGGCACTTATTCTACTTTGCAAGTAGGAATTATATCAGCTTGGAACACCTGAAGTAGATTGCTCTACAAATCTCGAAATTTTGCATGCAACATAATGCGCCCCCATCAGTGCTTACAGCACTTTGATTTTACTTAGTTTGGCAAGACCCCAATACAGAACAACAGGACATGTTAAGAAGGGAATACTTACAAAGTTTCGATAAGTTAATCACAGCGGGTAAAATGAAGTTTTGATTTTTCATTTGCTATTAATACACCATATGTTTCCAATTTGTATGGTATTAGGGGCACATAGACCGAGGGAGATGTCATAAATGGTCATAAATATGAAATTCTGTTACATTCGATATCTTGATATATATTTTATCCTCTTTAATGAATGGATTTGGACACAATAACCATTTCAACAAGACATTGAATTACGCATATTAAAGGTCAGGTTCTAAAAAAAATTATACTGGTAATTTCTGTTTACTTGATGGATTTCTTTCAAACTTGTACACAATAATCTTTCGTTCAAGACGTTCAATTCTTCCGACCTATGTGTGAACTTGACCTCTGGCTGGCCTGGAATCTTGACGATATGAAAACGTTAAAGTATGTCATATTATTATCCTCCGCCGGTTCAAATGGGAGGTGATATTGTCGGACCCTTTAACATAGAGTTATGAGCCCTGAATTATTTTGGTTCTGTATACTTTTGCGCTACTTCTCGGCAACTGCTGACTGGATTTTAAGGAAACGTTTTTGGAACTGTGGTTGTTTGTTGTTAATTACTATAACTAGCATTCGTCGGTTGATAGAAATTTTAACGATTTCCCTTGTTTTCTTATATCTGTTGACCATGACCTTACAATGACCTGACATGGAAGGTCATTAATATGGACACATAATGGTAGTCGTAATGTCATCTTTCGGAGTAACTTGTCGTCTTTTAGTGTTAGCTCTTGTTGACTTCTACCGGGTATGTTAGTAACTGAAACTTTAATCGAGCCCGATAGATGCCGTGGTTCTGTTAGTTTATATGTCGGCAATACGACATATATTTACGCGACATGTTACTTCCTGTTGTGGAATAAATTATGGCGTCTTGACTACTTTTTGCTAACATCTGTGCATGAGCATCACGATATAATTCTTGTCGACATAACATTACTTCTTCCTAATATCTTTTCATGTGTCTTTAAGGTGGATGGAGGGAGGTTGGGTAGGGGCGTGAGGTTGAATTCCTTCTACTTTATGGTCGTGGCCGTTCTGATGATATTTAGAATTTTATAGCCCGGACAATTCAAATTTTAGCTAAAAACCCTCACTTGCATGTGTGAAAAATACCTACCGATTCGTCTCGTATTTTCTGTGAAAATTTCGTTTACACTTAGGTGTTTACAAAATAGGGCTTGAGAATTTCACAGCACCTTTTTGTGCCAAATTCGTACGAACTTATCACACACGTGTGAGGAATTCGAGCGAATTTTTCACACGTGTAACGAATTTGTTTTTGTGAATATTGAGGTTAAACAAAGCTGCTTTCAGGCCAAGGTCAAATGTCAGCCGTTTCCGTTCAGAAATAGAGAAACACAAAGCCAACATCTTTTGTGAATGAACTATCCCATATACTTATTTTATCACACACCCGTGCCGATTTTGCGACTCCGTAAATATGGTATTGCACGGCCGTGCATATATTTTGACGTGACGTCATTAGCGTTATACAAACATAGTGTAAAGACGCGCTAAATGTTAGCGTTATACTATAGGCGCGTCAATGAAAAATGACTCTTATTTCACTTAAAACGGTCTTTATTTTGGGTATGTGATAAATAGAATATTAAATTCGTGTAAGTTTATTACTGAATTTATTGCACTCGTTGAATAAAATAATATTATGCTCGCAAGAGGCTCGCATAATATAATTTTATTCAACTCGTGCAATAAATTCAGTATTGAACTTACAATCATTCAATATCCTCAATATAATACCTTTTTATCTCGGCTGTTCAATGGTCAGGGTTACATTAAACATCAATATCTGCTAAAAAAAAAAACACAACTTTTAAACTGCATAGGATGATAAAGTATTTTCGTCCAATAACTAGATAGCCATTTCACAGCATTGAAATTTTATATAATGATTATTTTCACTGAGTAAATGACTTATGGCAACAAACGTCAGAGTCAAATAATTATTTTACACTATACCAAGAACCGTTTTGAGTCAATTAAGTACATGACTATTTTACCAAACGCTTTTAAATGTTGATTGCAATCAATGATTTAAACAGACCCATATATTTAACGGTCATGGTCCAGCACGGTTCAAGAAAAAGCTATTTCTTCTAAATTATAACAAGCAAAAAATCGGCCATTGGCATATAAACTTCATATAATTGGCAACCACGTTAAATCAAGTAACAGACATATTCCGTTTATTGACTTTGGTATTTTTTTAATGTCAGCGTCACAATGCCTTTGCAGAAAACTTGCGTTTTCGCTCAATAGAAAACCACCTGAACTACTTTTAAAACTTCTTAGGTGTATATATCTTTTAATGACAATTTGGTTATTAATGTACTGCCATAATTAGTGTAAATACGGAATTTATTTCTTTTTAAGCTTAATTGGTAGTGATATGATGACAATAAAAAGGAATAAACATTGTTTTCACTACACATGACGTTATCTATGAACCATTAAAAGTGATTGAAACTCTGTCTTGTTTAAATTATAGACCAAATACATCAGTGATTATTCAACAATATGTAGCATATTGTTTTGTGCTACACTATGGAATGAAGGTTATGCCGAACCCAAACTTCCATGGCATGGTACCACATGTGGAAATGGCAAGGTACGATTTAACCTAATGATTAAAATAATATCATGCTAAACAAGCTTCTCTTTTCTTAAATTGCTTAATCTAAAATTGTAACTATGCCATAATAAGTAATCATCATTTATCAATTAAAATAATTGCATCACTCAGAAATATATGAATCTGTCTATTTATCCTTAGATGTGTCAATCAGGGCATTGCGTCGAATCTCCCCTAGCACCTCCAGTCGACGATGGTAAGTGAAGCTTCAATTTAAAATATTTACGATTTTCAAATACAATCATCGTCGGTATAAACTTTGTGGTAATATTTCATCCTTGCACAACGTGAGTTCCCATAAATAGTAAAATACCACAGAGAATTAACTATCATAATTATTTTAACACACCGTTATAAATATCTACTGTGAAAACAAACATGTGCGTCACTGCGTTTCAAGCAGGACAAAAACCATAATCCGTTTTGTAATCATCTACTTACTCTATAATTACCTGTAAGCAACTACACATTCCAGTTTTACAATACGTTATTTAAGGAATGATATATTCCAATTTCCCAGACAGTGATTTTATCGCTCAATAAAATCACTGTTTGGAGTTCGGATGCGAGGAATTATATCACGAGGGAATAGCTCGGGCAATATAATGATGCGCATCCGAACGACACCGATTTGTATATACTATTTCGATTCTAACTCGATATCATCACATAAACATGTTGCCGTACCGGATATTTAGCCTAATTACGGCTTATTTGTTTCCTTTCTTTATTTTCAGCGCGTCACATTTTTAGTGCTTACGTCACGTGTATAATGATTACGTCATATGTCCTAATATAGAAGGTCAAACAATGACTTTATTTAAGAAATAAGATACTCAATAAAATCACTGTTTGGAGTTCGGATGCGAGGAATTATATCACAAGGGCGTAGCCCGAGTGATAAAATGTTGCGCATCCTAACGACAAGCAGTGATTTTATCAAACAATAAAATCACCGATAAGAATATATTATTTCGGTTCTAACACGACATCAACAAGCCGTAACTGATATTTCCTTACATTGCGCCTGATTTGTTTTCATACTTATCTTCAGGGCGTTATATTTTAGTGGTTATTCACGTGTATAATGATAACGTCACATGTCTTAATAAAGAATGCCAAACTGTGATTATACTGCATAATAACACACCGTAGAATCCTGTATGTTCAATAGGGGACAATGCGGTCGAGTTAATATACATAAAAACACACTATTTGCGGTTCTTCTTTGTTGGGAAAATACGGGTCGTGTTAGAATAAATTATGTATATGTTAGTGCTCATTCGTGCTATTCTACACAAATTTGAAAGTTCGACTAGAGCGATAGCGATAATCTCTGTAGAACAGCTACGGAAGCATACTAACACACTTTGTACCAAGCTTTATTTTGCTTCATTTATAATCGCTTTATTACATCACCACTTTTGTACACACGCGGTTCTAAGTATTATGACAAATAGAAGGCGACTATGAACAGAACTTCTTAAATTATCGACTTTTTTCTTCTATGAAAATAAACATATTTTTTAATTCTACAGAAATTAGAAATATTCTCCTGTCGCTATCGCTCCCTTCGAACTTTCTCATTTCTGTTATAACAGCACGGATGAACACTTACATATACATAAATCCACTAAGATGTCTAGTATAATATAACTATTATAATATTGTTACTATATAGACTAAAATTGTTTTATTCACATTTTCATTTTTGTAATAGAAATTCGTAATAGATATCAGAAAAAACTACCAAAAAACTGGCATAAAACGTGAATTTCTCTCTCTTGTGCCCTTTCACACTTTTTCACCTTCCCACTCCCCAAATACCAGCTTATAAATGGTCGTAAGCTACCTAACACCTATATAATATTTAAAACATAAAACAACATCCCATGTTATGTTTGTTTGTGGAGAAAGTGATTTAAAAGGACTCCCCTGAGGTTTAAAATCCTAAAAACATAACATTTGAATTTCTTACATAAATGAGCTGGGGCACTTTAAACAGAAATATAGACAAAAATAGTTTAGAAATATACTTTGAAAATCGTATTTTTTATGTTTTTCTTAGCCCGATTTGAGTGAAAAGCGTTTAAACGCTTTTCATTTTGAGTCATTTTTTACAACTTGAATAATAATTCTGGAAAAACAAAGTGGCAAATGATCTGAAATTTTGCACAAATGTTAGTGGTCTTAACCTACATCAAATTCTACATTTATCTGGGGAAAAAAATCTATCCCATCATGTCAAAAAACCTAAGTGGAGTCCCTTTAAGGGCTTTTTAATGGAAATAATTCATTCAGCGGATGTACCGTTTGATTTCAGCAGTTGCATACTTATATGAGAATAAATTCATTTCATTAAGTTTCTTTCTTATTATTTTTATTTTAGTTTTTAATTTTTCTTTTGCTGCTGGGAATGTGCGTTACCGCTGCCCCATTGGAGCCTCAGTGAAAAAACTACACTAATATATGCAAGGTGCGAAAAAAAACTCAACCGCTATATAGCAGTTGAGTTTTTTTCCTATATGAATCAATGACAAAACTGTACTGCTATATATCAATACAGTTTTCAACTGATCATTGAAAGTGTACTGAGTATAATGGGTTAGTAAGAAAAAGTTCCAAACCATGCAATAATTCCACATTACAGTCGAGTTCGACATACTTTAACTGTTTTATCGCATGGTGCAGCGATTCGTCTTTGATGTTCCTCAGCTGTTATACATCAGTAAATGCTTTATGGTGATAACGTACAGTGCGATATCTCAGATAACGTGTACTTCTTTTGAAAAACGTGTGAGTTATTTTAAATAAAGCACAGTTATCTAAGTGCATTTGGTTTATGTATAAGCTTAACCGTAGACAAATACACTACAAGGGTCACTGGACGGTACTAAAATTTATGCAAGAAAAATAACGAATATATTCAGTTTGGGGAAAAATAATGGGGTACTGGGGATAAGGCTGTCAGTTAAGATAGAAATTGTGTCTGTGGCTTGAACGTACTTGTTTATTAACCTTTTTATCCTTTTACGGTTTTACCTTAATTCATTTTATGCTTTTGAGTTGATTACCGTTTTATCCTTGATTTTTTTTTTATAATTTTATCCAAAAAAATAATTTCACATTTTCAAAAACGAGATTACTTTTATCACGACTAACTATGGAGAGCTGTCCTGCTGTCCTATTGGCCCCGGCGTCCGCTTCCAGATTTCAGATTTAAGTTTTGATGCAGTAAAATATTTTTCACTAAAATTTTTACATTTCTTAAGGTATCAAATTCAAACTTCAAATATATGTTCCTTATCATCAACTACATCTCATGTGCAAAGTTTATAACTCTTGCACCAATATTTTGATATTCATTTCCCCTTGAACTTAGAATTTCCTTAAAAATTCTTTAACTGTTACTTCTTTATTTCTTTAGGGATCAACTTCATACTCCTTATCATTAACCATATGTTATGTGACAAACTTCATTACTCTAGCACTAATATTGCAAGACTAATCTCCCCATCAATTTAGATTTTTTTTACTTGAAAGATGTTATTTTCTAACTATAACTTCTTTAGTTTTAAAGGTGTCTACCTCAAACTTAACAACTTATTCCTTATCATCAATTACATCTTATGTGACAAGGTTCATAACTCTTGACGCAACACTTTCAGATTAATCTCTTTGAACTTTAGATTTTTTTAAAGAAATATTATTACTTATTTTATGCATGCTTTTCAGTAGATTACTGATTTATCCTTGAAAATTATACTTGATAATTTCACAGAAAAAAATATCAAAATATAATTTCACACTTTTCAATGACGAAACTACTTTTTTATGTTTTTCCCAATCTTGTTCCTCAATTTTATTTTTGCTGATAATTTGACAATGTCAGGCTGTTTAGAGAAAAACAAAGCTGAAATTGATAAATAACTAAAATGTCAAAAGTAATAAAATGAAGAAAACTTACTTGTATCCATCCAAATTACCAATCACCAAATATCATCTCTAAATGTTTTTGTTTCATTTTTACAGTCTGAAAAATACATTCCTACCACATGCAAAACTGCTCTTTATGACATTTGGGCATATTTAAGTATTCTACGAGCAGTATCTGCCGTATGCTTTATGAAAACTTGAACAGCAATGACAGCCATCAGCCCGAAGAATTACAAAAAAAAGTTAACAACCCAGCGTTCGTGCGGCAGCCTTTCAACAATTCCAAGTTTCCAATTTCCTACCCGTTTTTTGAATATTTACACATCTGTCAACACTAATATTGTCTGTTACAATTCTCAAATAAGTTTTCTTTCTTTTAAAAAGTTGTATGACTAACAAATCCAAATAATATTCCGCTAAATCAAACACAATTATTTTCCTCCTGTGAAATACACAACTTTTAAAAATGGCGACCGCTTACGTTTAACAGAACCAGGTCTAATATAAATTTGCAGTAAAAAACAGAAATATGGATGGATGGGTGGACTTTTTCTCCTACCAGAATTGTTTGTTTTTATTATTAAAACAAGCGATCATTCATATTTTTTAAAAAATGAATAATATCACCGACATTTAACGTTGATTATCGAACTTATTTTTCAGCCCAAGACTTCTTGTGTTTTATGAGAAATTTGACTACATGTACATAATAGAGGCTACCAGTGGGGAAAACAGATTTTAATATTAAAGTTAATATCAAGAAAATTTCGTTTTAACTTGTTTTCAAGCATAAAATAAAAAATGACATTTGTTTGTTTGTTGTGGCAGATGAAATTTTATTTCATCGCTTCAACTTTAAATTTTTAAAGCTTATTCGATAAAATAAAATTTCATCTTACACCCAAACAAACAAATATCCTCTTTTTCTTTACTTTGCAAGGTATCTTCTTCAAATACATGTATATATTTCTTATCATTACACACATGTTCAGTGGCAAAACTCATAATTCTAGCTTGACTATTTCCAGAATTTCCAGAATTATTCCCCTTGAACTTGGAATTTATGTTAACAAATATTATGTTTAACTATAACCTAATACACAATTATACATTCTTGATTTTTCTTTCATAGTTTTTTCTTCCTTTCTTTGTCCTGTATTTTATTAGTCGACCTTCGCTGTCTCCTGTGACAGCTCTAGTTTAAGATGTTCCCCATGTGGTACCTCAATTTTATTTTTCCTTACAATTCTGAAATGTCAGGGCTGTTTAGAGAAAGCAATAAAAAGAAAAATCCTACTTCAATTCATTCAAATTACCAATGACCAAATAGCGTGTCTAAATTTTGGTTTCATTTTTACAGTCTGAAAAATGCACTTCCTTTCCTATGCAAAACTGCTTTTGGTGACATTTTGGTCATATTTAAGTAAATAACTCCCTAATGCAATATGAAAACTTGAAACGCGATGACAAATATCAGCCCGAAGAATAAAGTAAACCACCCAGCGTTCGTAAGACAGCCTTTCAACAATTCCATGTTTTCCTTATTCTTAGCCGATTTTTAGCTCACCTGAGCACGAAGTGCTCAAAGGTGAGCTTTTGTCATCACTCTGCGTCCGTCGTGCGTCCTTCAAAAAATGGCGTCAAACTTTTCAAACAACATCTCCTCCTAAACCACATGGCCAATTGCAACCAAACCTTACAGAAATGATCCTTAGGTGGACCCCTTTCAAAGTTGTTCAAAAATTTAAATTCCATTAAAAACTCTGGTTGCCATGGCAACCAATAAGAAAAACTTAAAAAATCTTCTTCTAAAAAACCCTAAGAGCTAGAGCTTAGATATTTAGCATGGAACATCTTCTAATGAGTGCCTACCAAGTTTGTTCAAATCAAAGCCCTGGGGTCAAAATTGGCCCCGCCCCAGGGGGTCGTTGATTTTCCCTATATGCATATAGTAAAAAACTTAAAAATTCTTCTTTTAAAGAACTCAAAGAGCTAAAGCTAAGATATTTAGCATGAAACATGTTCTAGTGGGTATCTACCAATTTTGTTCAAATAAAAGCACTGGGGTCAAAATTGGCCCCGCCCCGGGGGTCATTGATTTTCCTTATATGTGTATAGCCAAAACTTAAAAAATCTTCTTTAAAAAAACCCAAATAGCTGGAGTTTAGCTATTAAGCATGAAACATCTTCTAGTGAGTGTCTACAAAGTTTGTTCAAATAAAAGACCTGGGGTCAAAATTGGCCCCGCCCCAGGGGTCTTTGATTTTCTCTATATGCATATAGTAAAAACTTAAAAATTCTTCTTTTAAAGAACCCAAAGAGCTAGAGCTAAGATATTTAGCATGAAACATCTTCTAATGAGTGTCTACAAAGTTTGTTCAAACAAAAGCCTTAGGGTCAAAATTGGCCCCGCCCCAGGGGGTCATTGATTTTCCCTATGTGCATATAGAAAAAACTTAAAAAATCTTCTTTTAAAGAACTCAAAGAGCTAGAGCTAAGATATTTAGCATGAAACATGTTCTCATGGGTGTCTACCAAGTTTGTTCAAATAAAAGCCCTGGGGTCAAAATTGACCCCGCTCTGGGGGTCATTCATTAGCTCGACTTTTTTTAGATATATACATATTATATATATACATATATATTTAATATTTATATACATAATATAAATATATATATATATATATATATATATATATATATATATATATATATATATATATATATATATATATATATATATATATATATATATATATATATATAATGTATATAAATATTATAATTAGTAATTTACAATATATATATATATATATATATATATTACAATATACATACATATATATATATATATATATCTTTATTACTTTCACCTTATCGTAAATTTCCACTTCATATAACATCACACTGTTTGTAACTTGCATTTTCTAACATCATACTTTAAGTAATAAAAACACACACGCCCTGATATGTGAAGTTTTATTTATTTAATATATATATTTTTTTTTTTTAAACATACTTTTATAGATATATTTAACCGAGTTTATGCCATATTGACCGCAGGCTATAATTTCTTTTGTTAAGTACTACACAATGGCCATTCAATAACGGTCTATTCATAATCGATGTAATTTTATCACCTTTCTAGCGACTGTGTTTCAGTTCAATTTTTGATACTATACAGTACACTCGTATTGAGATTTTGTGCTCGATTGTGTGCACATTATACATGTTATACACCCCTGATGAAGGCATAATACGCCGAAAGCACTTGGGTATTTATACTTTAGCACTGTATGAACGTTTATTTTCTCCAAATTTATTGTTATTTTTTCCACGTTCTATATATATTCCGCGGCCTATATACAGGTGAGCGACTTTGGGCCATTATGGCCCTCTTGTTTAATGTTAACTCATCTGTCAATAATTATTTACTGTCTGTTACAATCCTCAAATAAGTTTCCTTTCTTATAAATTAATGTATGATTAACAAATCCTAATATTCCTCTGAATCAAACAAAATTATTTACCTCCCGTGAAATACACAACTTTTAAAAATAGCGACCGCTTATATTACTCAAAACCTGGTCAAATATAAATTTGCCTTAAGTTACGGAAATAAGATCAGATGGTGTGACTTTTTCTTCTTCTATAATTGTTTTTATTTTTAACTCAGGGGATCAATTATGTTTTGGAATATAATAAATAATATCATCGCCATTTAACGTTGATTGTAGAACTTATTTCACTTAAGTCCACTTAAAATTGGGCTACCAGTGGGGAAACAGATTTTAATCTTAAAGTTCATATTGAGGAAATTTCATTTAAACTTGTTTTTAAGCTTAAAATGAAAAAAAAAAATGTTTGTTGTGTAAGATCTCGTGAACTTTAAAAACCGTCCTCTCACAGTTATAGTTTATCGAACTCGACTGTTATGTGGAAATATCATGGCCTAGGGCGGCATCTCGGGTTTAAATACATATTTTGCTTCTCTTAATAGAATTAATTCCCCACAGGAACATTTTTATGGTACATTTTTTGTAAGGCCCTTTCACACTAGACGGTGCTTTCACTGCGTTTGCAAGGCGTTGTTTAATTTAACAAAAATAAAAATGTGAAATATTTGATGACATTGAGACTTAACGGCGTTTTCACGGTGTCCTCACGGCAATCAATGCGATACTAAGGAGTTTCCACGGCGTTTTAAATGGCGATTGTTTGCGCTCGTAATGATCTTCTACTGCGTTTTATGCACTTCAACTGCGCTTTTACGGCGCTTACACGGCGCTCACACTGCGCTGAAATAAAAAAAAGCTCCGTACGTTCAAGCCAAAGACAAAACTTTTTCAGACTGACAGCCATATCCACAGAACCCCATTATTTTTCTCCAATCTGAATATATTCGTTGTTTTTCCAGGCCAAATATTAGTACCGTCCAGTGACCCTTGGGTATTTGTCTTCGGTCACGCTTATACATGAACCAACTCTAGGTGTATTTAGGTAAATGTGCTTTTGAAATAACGCACACTTTTTTCTAAAGAAGTATGCTTTTATAGGGTTAATGCACGTTTTTCCGTGTTATAACATCTGCAGAGTTCCGAGGAACGTTTGGTGCCCCAGCCCGGTAGGGCGAGGGCTCAAACAGTTCCGAGGGACTCTGCAGACTTTATAACACGAAATAAACGTGCGTTGACGCTATTATAGCATACAATTTAAAAACATATTTAATACATAATTAAATCCTTGTGTTCGGACGGTATTAAACCAATTCTACATGTTTTATGTATACGTTTATTTTTCCGGGGCCAACAACTTGGGAAATACAAATGCTCAGAACCGAACGAAATTTCGAATTTCAATTGATTTAACAAAGCTAAACATTGGAGATTTATTAATTTTTTTCAACTCAAGAAAAAAATTAAATTAATCTACCCAAGATAAAACATGATCCTCAGAAAAGCTTAGAATGATTTCAGATTGACGGTAAAAAGAGATTTCAGACATCAGAATCGTTTTTTTTTTCAAGCACACAAGTTTATAAAAAAAATCAGGCACTAAACATTATTCTCTCAAAGAAATATAAAGAGCATTTATTAATATAAACATTAATAAAACAACATTTTCTCATATTCGTTTTGTGTTATCTTGTTTTGTTAATTAATCGGAGGGTTATTTAGAATGACAGATATTTGTTTACATTGACAACTGTCCGTTTCTTAGAAAGGGCGACAACCAAGATTAGCGGCGATGTCTATACGCCGTATTTCCGGCATAGTTACTTGTGTGCTGCTCGCCGTTTTGTGATTAAGGCCCTCGAATCAATAACAGGCCAGATCGTCAAGTCTTTTGTTTGTTTACTAATATTTATACAATGTCCTTTACAGTCAAGTAGGTATCATATTGTTGACAAGCGTACATGTATTTCTCAAACTATTAACACATTTTTTTGAGCAGAAGCGTGTCCATTTGGAGATACCCCTTACATTGTTCCGTACAAGAAATTGAGTTGTTCCGATCTTCTTGGATCTCCTGCAACAACTTACAATTGTTACATTGAATCGACCAGGCAACACTGCTGTGCTACTTGTGAAGCTATAAAGAAATCTAACACGGCGTATAAAGGTATGTTTTTGCTATGATTTACTCAATATATAACGCATTTTTAGCTCGACTATACGAAGAATATGGAGAGCTGTCCTAATCGCGGCTGCGTCCAGATTTCAGATTAAAGTTTTTGTGCAGTAAAATGGTTTTCACTAATTCTTTCTCATTTCTTAAGGTATCAACTTCAAACTTCAAATATATGTTAATTATCACCAACCACATCTTATGTGACAAGGTTCTTAACTGTAGCTACAATATTTTCAGATTTCTGTACCCTTTAACTTAGAATTGTCCTTAAAAAATACTATTTTTTACTGTTACTTCTTTATTTCTTAAGGGATCAACCTTATACTTCAAATGTATGTACATTATTATCAACCACAACTTATGTGACAAGGTTCATGACTCTAGACTATTTTCAGATTTAACTCCCTTGAACTTTGAATTTATGTTAAAAATGTTTTTTTTTACTGTAGATCTAATTTTATACTTAATCATACATAATTGAGTTTTCTTTTATAGTTTTGTCTTCCTTACTGGGTCCAGTATTTTGTTAGTGGATCTTCGCTGTCTCCTGTGACAGCTCTTAATGTTAAGGATATCATGTTTTATGCTTTTTTAATGCTCAAATGGTCTAGTCATTGTCAGAGAACGATTTTTATCTTTTCATTTTGAGCATAATCATTATGTTGCCTTTTGCCAAATTTTGTATAGTTTTAAAAAATGGATGGCCTGAATTTATTGATTACCTTCATGTTTTTTTTTCTGTTTTTTGTTGTTTTTTGTTTGTTTTGTTTTTTATTTTCATAATTCTTTTCATTAAAGGGTTAGGTACGTTTTGGGTCGATTTTGGCCCATCGGCAAAAAATATTCAAATTTTGATATTTCAAAATTAAATTATATTTCTAACAAACAAAGCAAGATTGAGTAAGATATCTGCTTAGACAAAAAAGTTAAAATAAATCAAAACAACCTATCAAAAAAATAAAATACTACAGTTTGACGTCATCAACGCATCGCTTCGAGTAATTAGAAATATAATGACGCATATGTATTTTCTAAATTGTTTATCGTGTAATGCAAAGGAGTTGATGATACATTTGATGTAAATTTCTACCGTACAATAACGATTGCAGACACACATAATTAGTCACTGTGAAGTATATAAAAACAGACGAAAATGAAGACATATACAATAGCTTTATTTATATAATTTACTTACCCTATTAAGGAAGTGTGTTCAGTAACTGCTGTTTTATAAAATACACAATTACTTTAACAAGTTCATGGTTAAATTTTCGGCACTGAACCTTCTTCAGTTTAAAAGGGCTAACCAACGAAATCTGTTAGAAGTTTGTACGAAGAGGCACATATTCGTCATACTACAGCTATGACAATATTTTTAGCTCACCTGTCACAAAGTGACAGGGTGAGCTTTTGTGATCGCTTTTCGTCCGGCGACCGTCCGTCCGTCGTCCGTCCGTCCGTCGTCCGTAAATTTTTTCTTTAAATGACATCTCCTCATAAACTGCTGAGCCAATTTCATCCAAACTTCACAGGAATGTTCCTTTGGTGGTCACCTTTAAAAATTGTTCAAAGAATTTAATTCCATGCAGAACTCTGGTTGCCATGGCAACCGATAGAAAAAACTTAAAATATCTTCTTTTAAAAAACCCAAAGAATTAGAGCTTAGATATTTGGCATGAAACATCTTCTAGTGAGTGTCTATCAAGTTTGTTCAAATAAAAGCCCTGGGGTCAAAATTGGCCCCGCCCAAGGGGGTCATTGATTTTCCCTATATGCATATAGTAAAAACTCATAAAATCTTCTTTTAAAGAACCCAAAGAGCTAGAGCTAAGATATTTAGCATGAAACATCTTCTAATGGGTGTCTACCAAGTTTGTTCAAATAAAAGCCCTAGGGTCAAAATTGGCCCCGCCCCAGGGGGTCATTGATTTTCCCTATATGCATATAGTAAAAAGTTATAAAATCTTCTTTTAAAGAACCCAAAGAGCTAGAGCTAAGATATTTAGCATGAAACATCTTCTAATAAGTGTCTATCAAGTTTGTTCAAATAAAAGCCCTGGGGTCAAAATTGGCCCCGCCCCAGGGGGTCATTGATTTTCTCTATATGCATATAGTAAAAACTAAATAAAATCTTCTTTTAAAGAACCCATAGAGCTAGAGCTTAGATATTTAGCATGAAACATTTTCTGATAGGTGTCTACCAATTTTGTTCAAATAAAAGCCCTGGGGTCAAAATTGGCCCCGCCCCGGGGGTCATTGATTTCTCTTATATGTGTATAGCAAAAACTTAAAAAATCTTCTTTGAAAAAAAAACAAATAGCTAGAGTTTAGATACTTAGCATGAAAAATCTTCTAGTGAGTCTCTACCAAGTTTGTTAAAAAAAAGCCCTTGGGTCAAAATTGGCCCCGCCCCGGGGGACATTCATTTTCCTTATTTGTGTAAAACAAAAACTTAAAAAATCTTCTTTGAAGAAACTCAAATAGCTAGAGTTTAGATATTAAGCACGAAGCATCTTCTAGTGAGTGTCTACAAAGTTTGTTCAAATAAAAGCCCTGGGGTCAAAATTGGGCCCGCCCCAGGGTAAATTGATTTTCCTTATATGTGTATAGCAAAAACTTGAAAATTCTTTGAAAAAACCCGAATAGCTAGAGTTTAGATATTAAGCAGGAAATATTTTCTAGTAAGTGTCTACAAAGATTGTTAAAATAAAAGCCCGAACAAAAGCCCTGGGGTCAAAATTGGCCCCGCCCCAGGTGTGTCACTGTTTTTAACTAAATGTGTAAAGAAATAACTTGACCAGCTAGACCTTAGATGTTTAGCATGAAACATCTTCTAATGGGTGTCTACCAAGTTTGTTCAAATAAAAGCCCTGGGGTTTAAACTGGCCCCGCTTCAGGGGCCTATATACAGGTGAGCGACTTCAGGGCCATCATGGCCCTCTTGTTTTATTCAGTGGTCTTATGTAATTTCCTATTTAGTAAAGTTCAGACTTTATATGTATGCACGTGTTTGAATATCATCATCATCATCATCATTATCAGAATCATTATTATTATTATATGATATTGATCTTACACATAATGCCTCGGTTACTCGACCTACCGGAATCGGCCGAATAACCGGAATCGGTGGGGACTTTACTGGAACCGATCTGTAATTTTGTTATTTATGAACTTTTAAAAAATATACTTTCATTTTTATAAGATATAAACATTATCAATGATATGTCAAAAGATGTTTGTAAATAAAATCACTTCTAAGATCTGAGAGTTACTGCCATATTGCCGGATTCGTCGTGGGCCTGCGATTTGGTTATTTATTATTTATGAATTTAAATAAAATTTGTTTGTCTGTTTTTATAAAACTTAAACGTTATGATTGACCTCCAAAAAATAAATGTGAAAAGAAATTTTGTTTTTGTTAACAGTGAAAAAATATTTAAGCGGTGAAAACGGGAAAACTGCAGGAATCGGCGAATGATTACCGAAATCGGCCTGTATTTTGCTTATTTATGAACTTTTAACCAATTTTCTTGCATCTTTAATTAGATATAAAACGATATCAATGATATGTAAAAAGATTTTTGTTAATAAAATCACCATTTATTAATAAAACAAGATATTTAATATCGGAAAGTTACAGCTATACTGTCGGAATCGGCGAAAGATTACGGGAATCGGCCTTAAATTTGGTATTTTTTGGACGTTTTACGTTTCTTTTACATCTTTTTATTAAATATAAACATTATCTATCATATTCAAAATAATAATTTTGCAATTCGCTTTTGATAAATAATACAATCGAGTTACTGTCATACTGCCGAAAAAGTACAATGATTAACCTCCCTTGAATTCCTGCCAAAATGTCATTACATTAATCAAAGCACAGAAGGCGCTGAATTTGTTTGGGTCTCAGAATGTAAGAACAGGTACAGGTTGTGAGATTATATGTGTAGTGCCACCAATGCTTTCCATCGTTTTAATTGTAGTAAATTGGCTATAAGACTAATTGCAACACTGATATTCAATCCAATGTTTATTTGACTTAAACCATTTGAAAAAGAAATGAGTTGCCTTTACTGGGATTTGAACTCCAGACCTCTCGCTTCCTAAGCGAGCGCGAAAACCCTTCAGCCACGGTGAATTTATATGTGAACGGCCTGAAGAAAACCATAAAGGGCTGCAAGTTCTGTGGTATTTTCTGATTGCAATCTAAATCGTACTGTATATCTGTATGTATTTTCCTGTATAAGTTTATTTTTATGTATTATAATTCATTTTGCAAGGCACCAGAGTTTGATACATACGGAATTCTGCATAAATAGAGTTGCATCAAAAAATCATTTATGTTCATTTTTTACGACAGCCACACTTTATCCTTGCATATCATGGCTACTTCATTTACAAAGACACTTAAAAAGGAATAAAAAATAAAGTTTCCTCGACTGGGATTTGAACTCCAGACCTCTCACTCACTAAGCGAGCGCGTTACCCCTGCACCACGGAGAAGTTGTACAAACATTGTCTGAATAACATCAAGTCATTCTAAATTTAGAACTTCCATTGCATTTCGGGTTTGTAATTCCTTATTAATTTCGAGGATAAACCTGTTGTTTAAAATTGAAGTAAATAATTTAGCAAAAATCTTCTCGCCCAAATAGTCCGACATGTAGAATCTATATATTCCACTACTCGGTTTGTGTAGTATTCGGTAATCGACATCGCTAAAAATAGTATTTTCATTGATAAAATCATATTCATCCGCGTAATTTGTGATTGTGCATTTATTGACAATTCTATAAGCCAACGCTATTTTTAAACTTTGAATGCGTTGTAATTTGTTGGATACTTGTAACAAAATAAAAATATTTCTTTCTTTTAAATCGCTAGTTTTAAGCTGTTTTGAGAACTACTTGTTGTTAGGTTTGTCGTAAACTTCTGTGTCAGAGATTGAATTTCCGCTTTGTATTTACTTATTTTCGATCAGAAAA